TCAACAAGGTAAAAACAAATAAAACTTTAAAACAACATTTCTGATCAATTCATAGTAAACGTCTACTCTGACCTCTGACCTGCATCTACATCCCTGACCTTTGACCTCTGACCTGTAGCTACAGCTCTGACCTTTGACCTCCAGTGGTACTTCTCTCCGGCTCACTTCTCGCCCCCCCTCTCTGATGATGCAGGTGTAGGTGCTGCTGTCCCTGATGGTGGGTCTTCTCAGAGTGAGGCCGAGGTGTCCGGTCTGCAGAGCGTCCGTCCTCATGGACGTCCGGTCTCTGTAGTCCTGGTTCTGGTCTTTGAGTTCGTCCCCTTCCAGCTGACGCTGGTCCCGCCTCATGTATCTTCCAGAGCTGAGGCATGCTTGGGACACTGAGGACATCAGACAGAGACATCTCAGGTGAGACAGAAACCAGTCTGGTCCACTTTGTGACTGGACCCTGCAGCGTGAGCAGCCTGTAAACTAAACACGTGTCTGAATGAAGCTGAACATTTACATCCACACAAACACCACAGCAAAGCGTTGTCATGACGACCGTAACGTGAGCTGTAGGGAAACGAAGCAGCTGCAGAGACTGAATGATGAGGAACAGACCTGAGGACAGTCTGACTGAACAGTCTTCTACATTATGATGATGAAGACAACAAACATGTTCTGACCTGCTGATCAGTCCTTTGTTTCTGGAAAACATGTTCAAGAGAAATGAAGTGATGCAGTGATGATCAGTCGGATCAGAGCAGGAAGGTTTTCTTACCATGAAGGAGGATCACAAACACCACAGACACCTTCATCTTCTCTAAAAACTACAACAACCACAAAGTCTCCTTCAAGCTGCTTCTTCCTGAACTCACTAATGCTCCACAAACACCTCCAGTTCTCAGCTCACAGCTGTCACCTTCCTCCTCCTGATAATCTACTGACACTCAGAGTAAACTTTCACTCTCAGCTGCAGGGAGGTTTTTTAATTACAGACAGTATCAGGGTCTGTTGAGCAGCTTTCCACACCAGTGTGGAGGCAAGGTCGGTGGGAGGGGAGTTGTGTCAGTCAAAGACTAAAGACGTTAATGATTAACCGTTTAACCAACAATGAGAATGTTGACCGATTAATAATCAGTTAAACAATGTTTCTGAACAAACACCAGGAGACCAGCTGTCCGCTGAGCTGAGGACTGAGGTCGGCCTGGAATGGTTATTTTGTTTTGAGGTCTGAAAAATTAGAGTACACGTTTATGTTTTGTTCACCTGTTGGAGGAAGAGGAGGAGGTTTTCCTTACAGTGCTCTCTGCTGGAGGATTCAATGTGTTTTCGATTTGTTAAACTGGTCATACATTAGAAAGTCTGGCTGCTATTTGCTATTTAAGTTATAAAATATTTTCCTACACGGGGGATCTAGGCTGTTATGTCAGTTCAAAACATGTAAAAATAAAAATAAACCCCTTCTTATGAAAAAAAAACCATCTGTTGTATTGGTGTTCTTTAAACGGGTCACCGACACTCGTCAAGTCTAAATAGTACATTTTATTTTTGACGGTTAACGGTCGGTTAACGGTCGGTTAACGAGCGTTGGCTATTGGTCAGAAAAAATTAGCCCTAACTTCCAAATGAGCATCCCCAACCAAAGACTGAAGAGTAACAAACACTGGTCCTGGAGCTGCTGGTTTTAAATGTCAGTTTTAACAGTGTGAACAGCACAAACCAGATCAAATGAAACCAAAACCAAGTGACTGTCATGTCTCTAACTGGTCTGGACCAAAGCTTCACTTGTACCAAAGACAAAATTACAAGTAATTAATTTTACCAATGCTGCTTAAACTCACCAGATGCGAGTTCATCTCTTAAATCACCCGGACGTACCATTTTACCTTTTAACTGGAGCCTCACAGTTAAATCAACTGTGATAACAACTCTATACAGTTAAACACACGACGACAGTCTGATTTGACACACCACAAACACACAGTCTGAGCAGAGTTGAGTCAGTTAAAAACATGGCACAAAACCTGCATCCATGTGTGCAGTTTTTTAAATGGAGTTTGGTGGAGGTTTTTCTTACTGTACAGGAGCATCACAAACATCTTCATCTTCTCTAAAAACCATTAACGATTACAGTTCCGTTAAAAATCTGCTTCTTCCTGAACTCTCTTGATACTCTCTGCTCTTTCACCTGCCAACCTGAAGCAAGCAGGTGGTGGGTGGGGCTCAAGTCCTGATTGGGAACTATGAGGAAGTAAGGCCCGAGATGCGGTGGAAAAGTCAATATAACCTCCTCACTGACCTCATCTCCTCGACGGAAAACGTCACGAGGTCAAAGATGTGATGAGCATTCATCAGGACTGAGGAAAAGAATCTGACTGAACATACACTAAGCTTTACTTTGTAACTAACATTATTAATAACACCTGGAGGATCAATCCTCCTTTAACCACAGAAACAAACAGGACTGAAATGTTGAAATAAGAAAACATGAAAGAAAAATACAAATAAAGAAAGTTCAGTCACTAAAATAACAATTAAATAGAAATAATGAATCTTCGGTTGTATAGAAATTTCAGTTTAGTTCAGATAAGTTATTTTTTTTAAATAGTCGACAGAGTTTTTTTTAGTTCATTAAGGGCACCAGGTGTTTCTGTTGTGTTAGAACTTACCTGGAATCTGAGGTGAGAAGCTGGTGCGTCCAAATCCATGGAGTTGTTCCTGGACTCCTCCATGTGCAGCCGCAGTGGTCAGGTGACGTCCTCCACCATCAACCATAAAAAAAACCAACCTGCATCACAAACATTTTATCATCAGTTAAAGAAAATGACACACAACATGAAAATCATATTTTATTCACTTTTCAATATAAATGAAAGACGTTTTAAGATGAGGTTTGTTATCACGTATCAATTCACCACAATCTATAAATATATTAATATATCTCATTTCAGAGGAACTTTCAGCAGGTGAATATAAGAAGTCTTCAACCGTCAAACTGAACTATTTTAAAATTAAAAATCATCAAGTTAAATATTGTATCTATAGTTTCTGTCGTGTTCATGGGCCTGACTGTGTCCCATTGACAGAGACTGGAGCTTGTCAAGCTGTCCGTGACTCAGCTTCTGCAGTTATGATGTTGCGGCACAGATGTGTGTGGAAATTAAACTTCCACATGAAGCATTAAGAGGCAGCAGCAAGTAAACAAGCTAATTACACTAATCAAGTTGTGTGCTGAGGGTGGGGGAGCGGGAGGGAGGGAGGGAGGGAGAGGGAGAGAGAGAGAGAGAGAGAGAGACACAGAGAGAGAGAGACACAGAGAGACAGAGAGAGAGAGAGAGATGAGGTGATGCCGGCGACCGGAGCAGAGAGCTATATATATATTCTGACAGTAGCACAAGCAGAGCCGCCATGATGGCAGTTGGCCACAGGCTGCATGAATTCTTTCTCCGCGGCGTCACGGCCGGTGGGAAGTACAACGATCCTCCTTGGCGCCATTAAATTTATACCGTGTGCAAGACAATAATCTCTGAAAGCCATATTTCACATCACAAACCCTACAGTGTTGAGTCTTTTAATAAACCACAACACGTTTCACCGACCGTTATTCTTCCCGCCGTCACCATCATCAAATTAGCATGAGCTAACAGGTTTTAAGCTAGCGCTGAAAAAGAAAACTCACTCACCAGAGAAAAGTCATCGAAAACACATTAAAACGTGGTTCTCCTGAGTCCTGCTGAATCCTCCGGTAACACAACAGAACTGGAACAAGGAAACTGCTGTTTCACTTCAACATTGAATTTAAAAGACATTACTGTTAGTCTTCACCGGCTGTGTATGTAGGAGGCTCCCGCTCCTTTCCTCTGACGTCACTCTCCCTCCTCCCCCTCCCCTCTCCGAACTACGGCTCTCCAGACAGGCGCTCTGCCCCCCCCCCCCCCCCCCCCCGGACATTTAGTCCGACTGCAACGTGAATCTACCGCTTCATTAAACTGTTGACTCTAGTGCAACGTGAGTAAAATAGTAGATAAATGTATGATAAATGGCTAAAATGTTAGAGACAGTCTATGAGTCACTTAGGATCTCACAAGAATATGAAACGGAAAGTTGAGAGTCTACAGATTCTAACATTTAAATATTATATCGACCTCAGACGGTTAGTAGGAAAAACTTAATTACTGAATAAAACTGTTTATGGTTCGTTCATTAATAAGACCGAGAGTCAACACAGATCCACCATTTTGAAGCAGTTGATGAGTCAGAAAAACAAATCAAATCTAAATGTGAGAGTAAAACACTTGAGCTGAGTCTGTGATTTCTCTGTTGGATCTACGGGGCTTACAGCAGGAGGGAAGCAGCACCTCCACCTAAGGTGCAGCAACATAAACATCATGTTTCACTTGGTACTGATGGTTTTAAAAAGAGTGAACTGTGTCAGACGTCTCTCTGCTCGTGATTTCATCAGTTCAACAACAGAATGATTCAAATAAAAGCATTTATTTGATCAGTGGTGGAGAAACAAGGAGAAAGAAACATTAGAAGAGAAGAAGACATGAAGAGAACAGAGACATGAACTCAGCTGGTTTCACACAACAAGGTTTTACAGAGTTCAGCTCAGAAGTGATGCTCTGTGGTGACATCAGAGATGACATCATCCAATCCCTGCTCAGCCTGGCTGGGCGGGGTCGTCACCACGGAGACGGGCAGGTGATTTCCTACAGTCAGAGCAGGTTGGACAGAAAACATGAAGAGTTAGAGTTAGAGAGGATTGATTGATTGATTGATTGATTGATTGATTGATTGATTGATTGATTGATTGATTGATTGATTGATAGTGTTACCTGTAGGTCTCTGTCTATATAAAGACACCATGATGCCAGTGGAGATGAAGTACGGACTGAACACCACCAGGTAGCGGATCAGGAAGAACACAAGAGGAGGCGGAGCTGACTAAGGGGGCGGGGCTGTGGTTGGAAGTCTCTCTGTAGAGAGAATCACCTGGTCAGGTAACATGTGGATCAATAAGTGGTGAAGTCAAAGTGAAGCTCCTGACCTTTGACCTCCTGACCTGTGACAGTGATCCAGCTGGGCGGAGACTCTCCATGACCTCTGATGTCACAGCTGTAGAGGCCTTCATCAGACTTGTCAACATGGTGGATGGTCATGTGACCTGTAGTCTCTGTGATGAGGGAGCCATCTTTATAGAAAGCAGCTGGGAGGTTGGAGGGAGGGGTCTTTGTTTTACAGTGCAGAGTGACATCATGTCCCTCCATCACAGGGAGGACAGGACTCTGCAGGATCACTGCTCCACCTCAACACACAGACAAACTACAGCATTTCATCCATTTACACACAGCTTCATCAACACTGACTCCACAGTCTGATCTTACCAGTGACAGTGATGCTGATGCTGTTACTGGTTGCTCCCTCTCTGGACTCACACCAGTAAACTCCACTGTCCTGTGTGAAGGTGTAGCTGATGTTACAGGAAGAACCAGCTGATTCTCCCCAGTCAGCTCCACACTGAGTCCTGGTTTCTCTGGTGGTGTTCCTCCTCAGCCTCCATCCAGCAGAGCTGTCGTCCTCCTCACAGCTCAGAGAGACAGAGGCTCCTTCAAACAGCTGGGAGCTGCTGGGACTCACCGTCAGACCAGCTGTGAGAGTTCAAAAGTGTTTTATTGTTGTCAAACTATTAAAATCATCAGTGTGCTGTAATGAATGTTCACAGAGACTGATGAATGTTTAACAGCTGTAGAGACGATCCACACAGAAACAGGATGTATTATTATCACATATATACCTCCTCTGGAGACATGAACATATACGTTTATAACATGTATGAGATACACATTGTCAGATTTATATATGTATAAATATTAAAAACATCTATGTGAAGAATTTTAATATAGAAAATGTTTTGTATGTAAACATGAAGTGTTTACATTATATGTTTAATTCATTTATGCAAGTTTATTAAAACAACTGTTGGACTCTACTGTTTATAACATCATCTCATACTGAGGCTGTGGATGGATGTATATCCACGTAACATCTGTCTACTATATAAACACACACACGTCTATACTGGGATAGGACAGATATACACGTCAATACAGGAAGCTGCTGCCATTTCTAACAGGCTTCATATAGAACTTTTACATACACGTACATATAAATGAAAACGTATGATTCATACATGTAGATTGACTCCATGAACATTTAAATGTGAAGCATCAGCTCTGACAGATGTGGACAGGTTGACAGGAGCGTTACTGACCTGTGTGTGAGCAGCAGCACAGCAGTGAGGTCAGAGCTGCAGAGACACCACGCTCAGGTTAGTTCACCTCTCAACACCTACACATCCACACATCAGGCTGAGTGCACTCACCCAGCAGCATCTGGACAGATGTTCCCTCCATTCTGCAGCCGGCTGAGAGGAGAGCAGCAGCGGTCTGACAGACAGTGAACGCCTCGTCTGTACTTCTCTCTACAGCAGCGACCAGGAAACTGTGACCTGGGCGGAGGAGAAGCCACAGACACAACCACGTGATCACACGGCAACACGTCATGACCTCCTTAGTTTTATTACAGCGGCCGCAGTGTGAGAGGAAATACAGATGTTTCTTTAGAGCAGCTGGACTGAAGAAACTACCTGCGTGTTGAGTCATTTTATAAAACTATGAATTATTTTAGTTGTAGCTGTAAAGACACATATTTCTTCTCACGCCAAGTAAAAGATTTTGTTCCCCGGCAACAGAAATAAATATCAGAATAATGATTATATCATCATTTTAAAATAAATGATAAAACAATTGATTTCAATGTTACCACACTGATCAGTCTGTGTCAGTAACAGATCTTCTAATCAATAATGTCCTCACTCTCTACAGCTATCCTCATTAATTTAAATCTGATTCCATCATTAACACCAGACCAAGTCTAAATCATTCAGAGGACAAGACTAAATGTCTTCACTTTCCTTATTATCCTCACCTTTAAAACATATTTTCATTTTTTCCCAAAATAAATGTCTTTACTTGCTGATGCTGGTGACGTGAGATTCACTGTGTCACGTGATCATTAAACAGACACTCGCTCATTCATCAGGTCTTCCTCACTTCACCACAACCAAAGCTTCAGAACCACACGACAGGAAACAACCAATGAGAGCAAAGTTTATTGATGGTGCAGAGAAACTGGATCACTGCTGCTGCAACAAGAGATCAGTTAATGACGATTACTGACACCAGAGCTGCTGGGACATTCACTGCTGTCAGAGCTCTACTGCTCGCACTGCAACAAGTCTGATATCAAGAGTATTGTATTATAATTATGTTTCATGCAGAGTTACAGAGAGGACTTTTTCTTCTTCTACTGTGAACGACCAGAGGCCAGACAGGAAGCTGAACGACCACAACGCTACTGTTACAACCAGTTCACACATTTCAGCTTAAAGCACACGACAGATAAAGACGCTGTCGCTCGCCGCACATGACATCACCGGACACAGCAGCAGCTTCAAACCACAGCTCCGAGGAGCCAACAGCAGGAAGATGTTCCTGTGGTTTTAGATTGATAAAGCAGCTGAGGATCTTTGTTCTGCTGTTCTTCAGTCCGTCGGCTCTTTAAGATTCACATTCATATTCTTAACTTTCATTCCTCCGCCCGGCGGCCATGTTGTTTTCAGGTTCTCAGTTACACCTTGATGGAACTTCTTCAAATTTGGATCAAACATTCACTAGGACTCCAGGATGAAGTGATCAGTTTTTGGGGGTCAAAGGTCAAGATCAGTGTGACCTCACAAAACATGATTTTGGCCGTGTGAACGCAGTATCTCTGTAAGGCTTTAAGGGAACTTCTTCTAATTAGTTAAAAACATTCACTTGAATGAAACACTCACTTCACTGTGACCTGGAACTAGTCTGAGTGGCGGAGGGATACGACCACGAGGAGGTGATTCTAGTTCCACGTTTGTGTCTTGCAGTGTAAATCTGATGTTCAGACCCAAACCGACACAGACTGTATCTACTAACAAGAACCGTGAGGTTATACGTCTTATTCCTCTGTGCCACAGAGCCAACCCCCCCACACAGAGCCCCCGACCACAGCACCACTGCAGCACCAAGTGTGGTTTAATCCACCGCTGAAAATAGTCCCCAACAAAATCAACCTGTGACATTTCAGTTCCCTGTTCAGAAGATTTACACTTGAAGACACTCAGCAGGAACCAATGGGCTGAGAGCTGAGTCACAGCTACAGGCCGACACTGTTGGTCCCAGTGTCGGTCCATGATGGAGACAAAGACGAGCAGCAGCTGTGAGGACTGTTTGTCCTCTTGTCCTCTCACTGCCACTGAAACACACACATTACATTAGTGCAAGTGGAGCAGCTGATACGACTGAGGACACGTTCCTCTACTGCAGGAGCCAAACCTGCATCTCTGCTGTACGTGCACTGAGGAAACAGACACACGTTTGAATGTGTCTCTCTCTTAGTTTTCTTTAATCACAGCCTCACAGTGAAGCGTGTGGTGGTCCACGTTCAGCCCATGTTTTTATCACAAACAGGAAACTGGACGACCACAGAGCCGTTAGCGTCCCCACAGGCTGCGACAGCAGCTGACTGACTAACCATCAGACTGCACAAGGCTGTTTCACCAGACTGCTGTTTAGGATCAATGTTCAAAACTAATCAAATGTAAACACAAATGCTGTGTATTGCCAAAGCTACGTGTTAATGTAGCCTTTAATGTGAAGTTTATAAATGTAAAATCTGGAAATAAATCAAAATTAAAATGTGTTTTCAGATAAAATCCATTAAATGAGTAAAATGTCTGTTACTTCTGGTCCTCATTAACATAATCCATCCCCTACTCCAAGATATGATGCAATGTCCTCCTAATACACCATGTCGAGTGTCAGCTGGTCTCTGCAGGTTTGACCCATCAAAACACAGTAACCATGACAACACAGTTCTTCAGTCTTCCTCTATTGATCTTTATTGGAAAGTGGAACGAATCACATCATCACTAACGAATGACAGTAACATTGGTCCTCTCACACACGCGCGCACACGCGCGCAAACACACACACACACACACACACACACACACACATTTTCTGTATGTTTCACAATTTCTGTCCTAACTAAAAAAAACAAAAGACAAGCAAGTGATGGAGGGAAGATGAAAGGAATCATGGGAAATGTAGGAATAAAAAAGTTTTAAAAAACATCCTGTTTCACTTCATTGTGTTCAAAAGAAGTCGAGGTCGTCCGGAGCGTCGAGGTCTCTGTACTCGATGATCGTCCGAGGGTCCCCTCGCACGCCCCTGCACAGAGAGAGAAAGATAAGCAATATTCAATCAATACATTTATCTGTGTGCTGTCTGCACTCTGTCTCTTCTTCACCTGCTGTTTCGTTGTTTCCCGGGAAACCCTCCTCCTCCTCCTCCTAGATGACCCCTGAAGTTGTCGTAGTTACCGCGGCCTGCCCCAAACTGGTTGGGGGGGTAGGGAGGCCCTCCGCCTGACACACACACACACACACACACACACACACACACACACACACACACACACACACACACACACACACACACACACACACAGATTATCTGTATGTTCTGGAGCTGCTGATCAGTGAAATAACACTTTCAACCTGAACGGTGTGTTCGAGTGCAACATCCGACTGTGGGAAATCTGAGCTCTTTCACTGCAGTTAGATAAAGGATGTAAATTATGATCATGATGTACCAGGGAAGCCGGGCATGGGAGGTCTGACTCCAGGTGGATATCCCAGAAGGCTTTGCTGTTGAGGTGACTGACCAGGAAATCCAGGTACGCCAGGGGGTGTGGCTGAAAGAGAAAGATGTGATGTCATAACGACCAAAAATATCCTTTTTCAACTCTGTTCCAGTCTGTGTGTGTCTCACCTTGTGCTGGCGGTAGGAGGGGCTTGTTCTCAGGTAGGGCGGGTCTCTTGGCGTCCAGCAGGAAGTTGTTGAAGAACTCGACTTCCTGTCTGACAGCGGCGACCTTCTCAGCGTGTTTGTTCAGGATGTGTTTACGCACAAACTCTGGAGCCTGAACAACGACAACAATTGTTACCACAGCAACCACTGAGTCATGCCAGGCACGCACGCACACACACACACGCGGACACACACAGGTAGCGCACGCACACTTGAACTTCTTCCCACTCAGAGGACAGAGCCACTTGTCTTTACTGAGCTCCTGAGTGTTGGCTGACAGGAACTTCTCCACCTGAACAGACAAACAGAGGGGAGTGAGAGAGAGGGGGGGGGGGGGGGGGGGGGGGGGGGGGGGAGGGGGGTGTGGGGGACAGACAGAAAGACAGACAGGTGTACCTCTTGTTCCGGGTCTTTCTTCCCTAGTCTTGCAGCTTCTTCTTCACTCAGAGTCTCTGAAGGCGACAGCAGAGGAGACAGACGCTCCTCACACATCTTCTGATGTTCACTCACTGTCCAATCAGAGCACAGCGCTCCATTACTGAACTGTATTGGGGTGGGTGTGTGTGTGTGTGTGTGTGTGTGTGTGTGTGTGTGTGTGTGTGTGTGCGTGTACCCTCGGCTGCAGTGATCTTGGCCACAGGTAAAGGTCCTCGTACGTGGATCAGGCCACAGCGATGAGGCATCTCGTCCTCAGCAGGATACTCACAGAAGTTATAATAATCTACAGAGTGAACCAGACGCAGGTAGAGCAGCAGTCTGTCCAGCACCTGCACACACACGCACGCACGCACGCACGCACGCACACGCACACACACACACATTACATAAACACATATGACATAAACACACGTTCATGAAAACTATAACTTCAAAAACAATGAGTCAAAATCAGACAGTTGGAGCCCCTCCCACCTTCAGCAGCTTGTCATCGGTTTCCACGGTAACCTCAGAGGAGGAGGTGGGGTCTTTGGCATCACCTGCATCAGCACTGTTGCCCCCGGAGGCACCTGTCAGCTCCTCCTCCTCGGCGCTCACCTCCTCTATCAGGTAATCTGTGATGTTCTTCAGAACGGGGTTGGTCTCCATCTGTACACACACACAGTTACTGAGGCATTATGGGTAATGTAGTGACAGGTAGTACATTACATACAGGTAGACGATTCTCCATGGAGCTCTGCAGCCTCTGTTTCTCTGGAGCTTTACTCTGGAGGGACATCAGCAGGAAGTGATGTCACACTGAGACTACAACCTCTAACTTCCTGTTTTACAACACCTGCATGCACCTGTCCTCACACAGGACAGAGAGACATCTTCTCCTGGAGGCCGTGCTGCGTTCAGTGACCTCCACTGACTTTCATGGAGAATAAATGTAAAGGTGGCGTCAGTGGGACCAGGTGTGGTGCAGGGCGGGGCCATACCTGTCCGGCCCACAGCTCCCCCCTCTGGTCCAGACTGTGGACGAGCCGGGCCGACAGCCGGATGTCGTTCCTCACCACCGGTTTGTGGTGCGTCAGACCGTTGACGCTGCGAACACGCCGACACAGATCTCTGTTGACCACCGGGGACAGTTCACAGTCTCTGAGCTGGACACACACACACACACACGCACACACACACACACACACACACACACAGGAAGTCTTGTCATTCATCCATCAGACCATGTGACTGACGGCTCAGACTGAGCATGTGGTCGTGACTTTACCCTGATGTTCTGAAGGTTCCAGCACGTCTCCTTGATGTTCACACTGCGGTCGAACGTCACCCAACACCGCCTGAAGAACCTGACACACACACACACACACACACAGTATTACCACGGACACACACACAGGTCTGGCTGATTGGACATTAACCTTCAGTTCTCACCTCCTCTCTGGCTGAGGGTCCGACAGCGCCACCCGCAGGAAGCCCGGGTACCTGCGACACAACTACACACACATCAGTCAAGTTAGTACCAGTGTGTGTGTGTGTGTGTGTGTGTTCTCTCACAGCAGTGATCTCCTCCTTGGACACTTCTGGCGGGATACTCCTGATGAACAGGGAGGTGGTGAGGTGGAGGGGGCGGGGCTTCGCCGGAGCCTCTTTCTCCCTCTCCTTCCCTCGCTCTTTACGGCGCTCTGACACACACACACACACACACACACACACACACACACACACACACACACACACACTTTAGAAACCATTTCTAACTAAGGATTCGGTCATTCTCCTGACGGTAATTAAATGTGTACATACCGTCCTCTCTGTCCTCCTCCTCCTCCTCCTTCTCGTCATCTTCCTCCTTCTCTCCGTCCTCCGAGTGGGAGGAGTCAGAGTCGGAGGCGCTGCCCTCCCCGCTGTCAGCTGACATGCTGCGTTTCCTCTTCCTGCCCTGAGAGGAGGAGGCGGGATTAACACGGGCACCACAAACATTGTCAGCGTCAGCTTGAAGGAGAACCAACTCACTTTCTTGGTCTTCTCCTCCTCTTCCTCTTTCTTCTCCTCCTCTTCCTCCCCCTCGTCCTTCTCCTCCCCTCCGTTCTGCTTGGCCTCCTCGTCACAGTCCTGAGACGGAAAATAAACAGTAAGATTAAATGTCAGTGAAGGAGAGGAGGAGCTTCGAACCTCCTCCTCCGTCACGCTAGTTCCAGGTCACGTCCTTGTTTGTTCAGAGTCACAGAAAATATGAACCACTGAGTAAAATTTGACCTTTGACCACAAAGTCTAATCGGTTCATCCTCTAGTCGGACAGACAACGTGAAAACAAAATGGCTGCCGCTCTGACCGTCGCCGGGCGGAGGAATAAAAACAGTCGAGACGTGCTGAGTCCAGTCAGCTGACTGACGCTTCACCGACATGAATCGTCTGCAGCTGATATCTTAGTTGTGAATGATCAGGGCAGATCAACGGATCAATACCTGATGTGTTGCTGAGGAACCGGATCAGACCCTGACCCTGTTGCTGCCCCGGCTTCAGGCAGTTTAACTCTGGAATACACTCAGAGGTGACGCAGCGTCACACAGACGGTTCTGACCTTGTTACAGTCTTTAATCTCGCCCGTCTCTCCGCTGGTCGTCGCCTCTGTCCGACTCCCCGTCGGCTCTGATCCAGTCTGACTGCTCACATTTCCTCCGCTGGGATCCCCCTGACTCTTCTCTGCTCCTCCTCCTCCTGCTGCTGCTGCTGCTGGTCGCCTCCCCGCCGGCCGCTGCAGGAGCAGTCGGTGCCTCCAGGACCTGCAGGTCAAAGTCTGTCCCTCCCTCCATCTTTATTACAGCTGTAGACAGAGACAGAAGCAGTGAGACAAGTCCTCGTTACCCAGAATCCCCTGTCAGGTGACAGCAGGTAACCTGTCCAGGATGTAGCCCAGGTAGCAAAGTCCCACCATCTTTTCATTTTTAAAACCTTTTTGAATTCATTGAGTTTTCTATCACAATATCATCAGCTGTAAATACTAATTATACATAATGAACTAACTCGAGGCCCAGGGGCCCGTCTCACTGCTCAGTACTCTCCTGTCTCACCCCCGTCTCTCTCTTTACCTGCATCCAGGAGTTTGATGATGGTGGGACCGTGGTCCATGTCCAGCGACACGTTATCCAGCCAATTGTTGTCCAGCAGGAAGAGGAAGACGCCGAGCCGCGTTTTGAGGGCGGCCAGAGACTCCGCCTTCCTCGCCGTGATGTCATCGGGGTGGTACTTTGAGCGGAACCACTCCTGGTCTTTGTGTTGGAGGAAGAAGTCCTGCAGCTGCTGCCGCCTGAAGTCCAGTTTGTACTGATTGTAGCGCTTCACCGCCTCCGTCTCGTCAACGCTGTCCTCCATGTTCAACAGAAACTCCTGAGGACACAGTGTTTGTAATGAGAGACAGCTGCTGCAGAGACAGACAGACAGAGACAGAGACACAGACAGAAAGACAGAGACACAGACAGAGACAGACAGAGACAGACAGAGACACAGATAGAAAGACAGAGACACAGACAGAGACACAGACACAGAGAGACAGACAGACCGACAGAGACAGACAGAGACACAGACAGACGCAGAGAGACAGACACAGACAGAGACACAGAGAGACAGAGACACAGACAGACAGAGACACAGACAGACAGAGACACAGACAGAGACAGACAGACCGACAGAGACACAGACAGACAGAGACACAGACAGACGCAGAGAGACAGACACAGAGAGACAGAGACACACCTTAAAGCTCCTCATGGTGGGGGGACCAGGAGGAGGGAGGTCTGGATCCACCATCCCCAACCTGAGAGACAGATTTTATTTGAATCTTTCCTAATTTTATCCACACAAAAATGTGTGTGTGTGTGTGTGTGTGTGTGTGTGTGTGTGTGCTCACCTGCCCTGCAGTGGGTGACCTCCATGGTGTGGGTGAAGATGGGGAAGGTCGGGGTGCCAGCCCTGAGGCCCCGCCCCTGGAAACGGAGCCCCTCCTCCTCCATACGGCAGGTCGTAGCGGTACGGCTCCCCCCGGTGGTCGTCCCTGGAAAATGCAGCCAACAAAGAGGGAATGAACGCTCACATGTGACCTGTGTGTGGTAAAGACAAGCGGGTGCAGCTGCAGCACAGCGTCCTCACCAGTCTCTCCTCATGCGTTTGTGCTGAGGGCTGATGTGTCTGGGCGGAGAAAACCTCTCTCTGCGACCACGATCGTAGTCCCTCCTCCGCTCTCTGCCGCGGTCCCAGTCCCTGAACACACAACATTCACAGGTCACACACCTGCAGCCTGGATACCTTTACCATGACAACATTCATCAGCACGTCTACAGAGGAATTAAAACATCTTTACGAGTTCAACGAGAACGATGACACTTTTCATCAGAGATTAAAAACTAATCGATAATGTGAAAGACGAACAAATTAACTAATGAGTGTTTGAATCTTTTATTCAACGAGCTGCAGAATCAGACTGTCACTCCTGGTCAGTGAATCACTTTCCTCCAGCAGCCAATAATAATCAGTGTGACCTGTTGTTAACGAGAACCATCTTCCAGTGAGTAATGTTCTCTGATGTTCTCTGAAGAACCAGATCTACGGATTCAGTTCATCCAGTCGACTGAGAATGAGACAAGAAGCAGCAACAGAACAAAAACAGCTGAGACCAACAGATGTTTCTAAAGACGTAACGTCCTCAGGAGCTGCGGGCGTGAGTGAAACATTAACGTTACTTAAAGTCCAGTCTTTCAGGATGTGATCAGAACCAACAGGTGAGTTCAGGATTAATGTCGACTGTCAAACATCTTCACCACAGAAACATCATGTAGTTATGTGACAATGATGACAAACCCACTGGACGGGATTTTACTTTATCAGCTTTTGAATGGTCAGATAAAATATTTTTGAAATGTTTTCTATAATAAAAAATGTCTGGAAATTCTCAGGGAAATATTAGATGTATGAAATATGTTAATCCAAAGAAATAGCAATATGTCTGAAAAATAATTAAAACTCTTGAAGAACAGAAAACCTCCTAACTCTAATGTGACTTAAATTTAGCTAAAACATTTTCATCAAAAGACTCAAACTCAGGTGAGAAAACTGCCACAGGCGTACCTGTCGGGCCAGTCGTCCCTCCTCCTCTCCTCTCTCTCTCTCGACCGCTCCATGTCGCTCCTCTCTCTCCTGAACTTGTCCCGCCTCCTCCGGTCGAACTCGTCATCGCTGTCTCCCATTGGACTGAAAACACACAAACGCTGTTTCTTTGAGTCTCACTCTTGACTCTCTTTACTTTGACAGGTAAAACTTGATTTGAGCAGGTTGTCTTGCACCTACAAAATGTTTGTCTGGTTCAGAGGTGTCGAAACTGTCCGCTCAGAGGCAGAGAGGTGAAGCGAAGATGCTGTGTGAGGTGATCATAACTCAGTCATGTTCATATGATTCAGTGTGACTTCCCTTCCTGAGGATATCATTATCTCCAGAGGAACAAAGAGGCTGCAGAACTCAAATACTGTAAATAGGACGTTTAACTCCATAGAAAAAAATACAAGTTAAATGAAAACAAGCTCAAGCTGCAGCTCACAGCGTAACACACTGAATCCCCATTACATTTAGTTTACATCTCTTCATATAAGAGAACACATTCAACATTTAAAATAACATTCTTCAAAAAGCATTAAACCACATTATTAAAACTCTAAATACATTTGAGGTTATTAATGAATCAACAGAAAAATGATCTGCAACTGTTTTGCCATTCCATTACTTGAGAATTAATGGTGGTGATATATTTTCAGATTTCAGCTTCTCTAATGAAAAGATTTGCTGCTTTTCTTTGTTGCGTCACTGTGACTGAATGTTGTGGATGAACAGATCCTTCATTTGTTACACGTTCAGTGAGAAGGGACTTTAGTCAGTGAAATCTGGTAACTTCTCCTTCAGAACAGCAGTGAGTGTTGTTGAACTACTTTCTATGTTTGAATGTCAGTCTGGATTTATTTATTTCATGGTTTAATTCATTGACTTTTCACATTTTTTGCACAAACTTGCAAAACACTGAAGCCTGAAACACTTCAACTATCAATTAGTTTTCTGAGACACAACACAAACAACAGTTTGTTAGATTCTTAACACTATTTACATTTTCATTGTTTTATATGTTTTATGAACTAGCAATTAGCCTTCAGCCTCTGCTCTGCTTCATCGGCGTTGGCTCCTTTTGACCTGCTGCTTATTTCACTCACAAACTGAACTACAACACAGTGACAATATGAAAACTCCGATAAAAGAGACAAACATTAAGGTTTTCAGTAAAGCTAGCGTTAGCACTTAGCCGCGCACCAGCTGGAGGAAGCTAACAGCGGCTAATTAGCCAGGTAGCATGGGAGCTAGCCCAGCGTACAAATAAATATACATTACATATATTCGCTTCACTTGGTGTTTGTTTTGAGTTTCGTGTAAAACAGACATTATGGATGAGTTTCCTGTGTTTTTTACCTGAAACTTTGCCGTTTACAAACTGAGGAATTAGCTCTGCAGCTAACGCAACAATTTCACCGCCAGTCCGAGAGCACAACCAACCAACGAGACTTCCGGTACGCTCAAGTTCCGTTTCCCTTTATTTCCGGTCAGGTTTTCATTCTGAAAGAAACAAACGCACCCCCTACAGGCGGGAAATAACATAAGTACGGCGTACTCCACAAGGAAGCACGAAACAAGTCTGTGTTAGTGCGGTTACTGTCATAATTCATCTGTTGCACACTTTTTTTCATCTTATTGATCAAATATTGGAACAATATTACTAAATTGTCAGAAAAATAATGATATATTATCCGATGTAATATGTGAAAAATAATAATCAAATGTTCATAAAATGTACCAAAGAAAAGACCAGCTTCACCAGTCGAAATTCTGACCTGAAGAATATTCCAGAATTTCTCTGTTTTTAATCAGTTTTGTTTTTATGTGGTCTGACAAACCGTCATATGAACTAGAACATCTCGGTCTTAAACGGACACAAGCATCACACTTTCCTTTCCCAAATGCTGCAATCACACACGTTCCTTATTTACTGGAAATACTGAGATTTATTCTTCCTGGTTGTTTGATTATTCCATACACTGGCTCTGTGGGGAGACACATTGTGTACCAAACATAGTTTAGCTGCAGTCGGAACATTTTAGATTTGGACTTATACTTAAACAACGACCATAAAAAATAATTGAAAAGTGGCTCCTTGTATCTACACAACTTGCTTGGGAATCATCACGTTTAAGTTTCCTTTAGTATCACAGTGACAGTTGTCTGTACATGCAAATACAAGCTGCTGATAGCTGATTCGGGGTATATAATTTTCCAAATTGTAAATACAGAGGCTAAAGCTAAACTCACTCACGGCAACATTAACATCTGTTCTTGTAAGCGAATATTTTTTTAACGTTTAAATTTAATTAAATTCAAAAATCTAAAATTAGGCGACCGTTTGTTTGTCAACTCTGACTACATTGCCCATGGTGCATTGCATGATCCGTTGCCAGGATACGGTACATTCCACTCGGTTGTTCGGCTAGCTAGCTCGTCTCGCTAACACCTTGTTGACGCAGATACTCGCGCTTAGACTGAATTCAGACACAGTAATAACGTTATTACTTGAACTTCAACACATATAAAGACAGAAGGTTTGTCCTTGTTTGTGTTTTTATCGCTGGACACCGTGTCGTTACCGTCTCACGGTTCGGTTTGTTGCTAGGTGGCTAACGTTAGCATAACGGAAGGCTTTATAGCTTCAGAAGGTTTGGGACGGTGCAGGGGAAAAGTCGGTACTAACGGGCAAAAACGCAATCTAAGCGGTTAAAAGGTTGATGTTAACCCGGTCAGTTTATTCCAGCAACAGATAAAACGGTTGAATTTGGCTAGAAAGTCCTGTTTTTAACGGGCAGATTAACGGTTGAAGCGGCACTATAAAGCGGGTCTAACCGGTGGATAAATGTGTCTGTAACCCGGTGGTCTTTCGGTGTCCTATGGAGCGGGTTGACCGGGGGAAAGACAGCCGACTGCTGAAGAACCAGCCGTACGACGAGAGCCTGGAGGTGATCGACTCCGAGGAGGTGGCGAGCGTCTACAGCCCGACTCCCGGCAGCCGGCGTCAGGTAACACACACCTGGGCTAAAATCTGAGGGGTCCTCAGATGATTCATGGGAAATAAGAAAAAAGCAAACATCTGTTTCTGAAGTTTAATTTCTTAATCTTAGATTTTTAGTGAAAGAATTATTTGAACTGAACAACTCTGATTTTCTCACAAGAAAAACTGGTTGGTTTAATCTTCAACAATGTGATGTGTTTCATAAGATTATCATTGGTTTTAATAAATAACATATATATAAAAATATTTTATATTTATATATAAAAAAGTGAAAAGTAACTAAAGTTTAAATGAATGGTGCTGCAGTAAAAGGTACAATATTACTGTGGAGCAGAAGTATTAGGAAGAATTACTAAAGTAAGTCTATTTAAGTAATTGAAGTTTCATCTTAAATTATTGCTCTGATATGAATCAAAGTGTGAGTGCAGAATGTGACACCTGAACTGACCTGAGATCAGCTGATGGTTTATTAGAGAGGATGTCTCCTTCTGTTGGAGCTGTTGAACTACAGAAACACTCTGACTGGACAGTGGTGTTACAGAGTGGAGCTTCTTCTCTCATAAATGATCTCTGGTTGAGAACAGAACCACAAACTGACAACAGAGAAGTTTAAATTTGTTCATGAAATTAGTGACTGACAGAATTAACATTGATTAGTAACAGCTGATCTGAGCTGCAGCTGGAGACGTTTTAACCAGTGACAGTGACAAACATGAGAAGCTGCTGCCCGGAGGTTTTCCTCTCTCAGCTCTGCTAATGACAGAGCAGAAACGACAGATTTATTAGTGAATCTGTGCATTTTACCAACAAGGAAGTGTTCACATTCACACGCCCTAATTTTCCCTCTCTGTGCTGATCTGCTGTCACCAAGGAAAGAGGTGCTGCAGCTCTAACATCTCATGTCCTGTCAGTCAGAGTCCAGGAGGAGCAGGGCCGGTCGTGGCCTGATGTCGGCCAACAGCAGCAGTGACGAGTTTGAAGATGACCATAAGCCTCAGAAGGCCAAAGAGCCGATCGGCGGGCAGCCGGGGGTGAGTCCGAACGAGGAGGACGAGGAGGAGGAAGAGGAGGAGGATGATGACGACTCTGATGAAGAGGATACAGACGATGACGACGAGCCAGGACAGGCACCGGAGGGGGCGTACGACCCCGCCGACTACGCCAACCTGCCCGTCAGCACCGACGTCAAAGAGCTGTTCCAGTACATCACACGGTGAGTTTAAGGATCATCAGGAGATCCTCCACCCTGCAGTAACTCGGTGTTTCCATCATCAGTTCAACACTTTGTCTAAAAAAGCCAGAAACAATTAATCAATTAATCTATCAGTCCATCAACAGACCTGGTTCCAGCTCCTCAGATGTGAGGATCTGCTCTTCATCATATGTTACAGTAAACTGAATATTGATAGAGAAAAATAACCAGCTGATTAATCAATAACAGACAGTTAAATCTCTCCTGCTCTCACTGAATCAATCAGACCAACACTGATCCAGTCTTCACTCTGAGTCCTGGTCCTGGTTTAAGACTGATAGTGGTCCAGTCACCATCAGACTTCAGTGCAGGGGACTGAGTCTGACTGAGTCTTCCATGATGAAGGATCTGACCCCCCCCCCCCCCGGTCTCTGCTGTCCCTCAGGTACACCCCCCAGTCCATAGAGCTGGAGCACAGTCTGAAGCCCTTCATCCCAGACTTCATCCCAGCTGTGGGGGACATCGACGCCTTCCTGAAGGTACAGGCTCATTAGTGCAGAGCCGTGACTCAACACGACACAGTTGTTGCCGTGGAAACTGAATTCACCATGTGAGCTGCTGTTGTAGGTGTCAACTAAATCCCTCAATGTTTTTTTTACCTGTCTTTTATTTGTTACTCTTATGGACTCTGAACCACTCTGTTGCTCCTGCTCACCTAGCATTAGCAATAGCATTAGCATTAGACAGCTGCCTGTTCTCCACAGTGCAGATCAGCTGATCATTCAGAAGCTGCAGGAAACTGACTCACTGATCAGACTTTACATGAAATCACTTCATTAGTCTTTAATGTAAGAAAAGTAAAACTTTTCATCACTGTTAGTTTTTATTTAGTTTTTGTCTCATTTTCGTTGTGACCTCTGACCTGTGTGGCGTTCAGGTGCCGAGGCCAGACAGTAAAGCGGACGGTCTGGGTCTGCTGGTTCTGGATGAACCCAGTGTGAAACAGTCAGACCCCACGGTGCTGTCGCTGTGGCTGTCAGAGGAAACCAAACAACACGGAGCCACCGAGGTACACACACCTGCCCTACACACCTGTCCTACACACCTGTCCTACACACCTGCCCTACACACCTGCCCTACACACCTGCCCTACACACCTGCCCTACACACCTGTCCTACACACCTGTCCTACACACCTGCCCTACACACCTGTCCTACACACCTGTCCTACACTCACCTGTCCTACACACACCTGTCCTCCACACCTGTCCTACACACCTGACCTACACTCACCTGTCCTACACTCACCTGTCCTACACTCACCTGTCCTACACACACCTGTCCTACACACCCCTGCCCTACACACCTGCCCTACACACCTGTCCTACACACCTGCCCTACACTTACCTGTCCTACACACCTGTAGGAATCCTGCTCTGATCTCTTTCTCTCTCTGTCTCTGCAGCTGAAGAAGGTGACGAGTGTAGCGAGTCCTCAGTCCAACCCTCGGGCGGTGGACAGCTGGGTGGAGAGTATTGGCGCCCTGCACCGCTCCAAACCTCCAGCCAGCGTTCAGTACGTGCGTCCGATGCCGGACATCGACAGCCTGATGCAGGAGTGGCCGTCGGAGCTGGAGGAGCTGCTGGGTCGCCTNCACCTGTCCTACACTCACCTGTCCTACACACCTGTCCTACACTCACCTGTCCTACACACACCTGTCCCACACACACCTGTCCTACACTCACCTGTCCTACACACCTGTAGGAATCCTGATCTGATCTCTTTCTCTCTCTGTCTCTGCAGCTGAAGAAGGTGACGAGTGTAGCGAGTCCTCAGTCCAACCCTCGGGCGGTGGACAGCTGGGTGGAGAGTATTGGCGCCCTGCACCGCTCCAAACCTCCAGCCAGCGTTCAGTACGTGCGTCCGATGCCGGACATCGACAGCCTGATGCAGGAGTGGCCGTCGGAGCTGGAGGAGCTGCTGGGTCGCCTGCAGCTGCCGGCCGCCCGCCTCCACTGCGGCCTGACGCAGTACACTGACGTCCTCTGCAGCCTGCTGGACGTCCCCGTGTACGGCAGCAGGATCCAGTCTCTGCACCTGCTCTTCAGCCTCTACCTGGAGTTCAGAGACTCGCAGCACTTCACACGCAGAGCGCACACCTGACGGCGCCGGGAGGCGGGGCCAGGAGCGTCTGTAGTGTCTGAGAACATTAAAGCAGCAGGTGCACAAACTGTCCTGAGCTGGAAACATCACACTGATCATTTCACATTGATTTAAAGCTTCATCTCCTCAGTTACAGCTGCTCGTGTTCAGGTCTGTAACCTCTTCTGTTTTGTCTTTATATTGTGATGATATGAAATAAAGATATTTAAAGCTCCAGCTGTGCAGACACCATGTGTGTTTCCAGAGGAGAAACAGCTGGAAGCTGATGGAATCTGCTCACTCACTTTCCTCTGTTGTTTTTATTCCTCCACGTCGGCAACAGCAGCAGCAGTAACTTCTTCATGACACAAACATTCACTAGGACGAACTGAGTAGACTTTGGTGGTTAAAGGTCAAAGGTCAAGGTCACAGTGACCTCAGAAAACCCTTTTTAGCCGTTACAATTATGACAGAATTTCCCCACAAATGGTTCATATTTTCTATTGATTGGATAAACAGACGTGTGACCTGACAAATAGTTTTAAAGACACGTTCTGAACCAGGTTAAAGTTTTTCTGCTGTCTGCTGAAGAGAAAGATCCACACACTTACCTGTCTGTGAGGTGTAACTACACAGAGATGTTCTCACATGGGTTTATATAGTTTAATGAACAGACGAGTCTCCTGCTCTCCGTCCTTTGATCCGTGTCACTGAGCAGACGTCAGATCGGCTGCAGCTGAAACAGACTCTGTCACTGACTCTTTACAGCAACAGTCACAGTCTCATCTGGACTGTTGCAGCTTCACCTACAGGTACCTGCCACCAAACAGCAGGTCTGCTCCGTCAGTGACTAAAGAAGTGTAACTGTGAAGATCAGTCAGCACCAGGATCAGTGAATGTAGACAGGTGTGAACTTCAGCAGCTGCAGCTTCACTCTCACATCCAGCTGAACCCAGGCAGCTTCCTGCTGTCACCAGGGCACACAGGTAAACCTCACCTTCCTCCTCAAACTGCTGGGAACTAACTCAGTACATCTACCTGAATGTAGGTGCTTGTACTTCACTATTTCCATTTTCTGCTTCTTTGTACTTGAGGGAAATTAATGTTGGGAATCTTCCTCGTGAGTATTTATGTCAGAAAGTGTCAGAGCTCAATCAGCAGGGACGCTGTGGCGTGATGCGATGACGTCGCCACTTCCTGCTGTTGCAGCTCCGCTGCCTACTGCAGGAGGAAGACTAGTTCACCTGTGACATGCTAAAGAGTTGGCAGGAAATATTTTTGTCCTATTGTCGATATTCAATCGTATCATCAGCAGTTTCATGGCTTGTGTTTGTCAGACACCTGATAATGTGAGTAACATTACAGGTTCAGCACAGCGTGAGTCGAGTCAGGAGGGAACAGCTGTAGTTTTATTCAACAGAACACATACAAAACACAAGGTGAAATACAGCTGTGACAGATGTGACAGGATCAAAGTTCCCATGATGCTACTGTCATTAGTGAGTGTTAGCATAGCTTAGCTCAATATGAGCAGGAGTTGTGTGAACGGCTCAGAGAAGGTTCAGTGTTGAACAACAACATAGAAAGAAAAGATCCACAAATGATCTTTGTTCATGTTTTCACACCCAGATTATAAAAGACGAAGAACGACATCCAGCAGGACAAACTGAAGAGAGAAGTGCTGAGTGAACGTCTGTTAAACATGTAAATACAGCGTCAGAGCTTGTGTGGGTTAAATGATGGTGCTGCGGAGGGTTTGGGTGAGGCCTCGGCGCCGACACGTTCATGTGTCAGCACTGCTTAACAAGTGAAGCTGCTGGCTCCTGTAGTAACGGTTCTGCTGAGTTCTGGCTCGCTCTATGAAAACGTATGGAGTGAACACAGACTGTCCCATTTGTCCCATGTCCCAGTCCTCCCATTAAAAACAGGCAGCTGTGTCTCAGCAGGTCGTCCACCAGTCACAGAGATGCCGGATCAGTCTCCCTCTGTCCACACGTCAGAGACACTGATGCACCATGGGGCCTCGCCGCCATCAGGGTGAGTGGTGACTAGAGGAAACTTGTAAAGTGCTTTGGATAATGGTTCAGTGTAAACGCAGCCATGTACAATCCATAACTTATCTGTCGGCCACATTTATTAGATTAGCAAAGTATTCTGGATCGTAGAAGTTTTGGTCTCTTAAGCTGATATTCACCTCCCACCGGGCCTGGTGTTCTGGGTTCCTCTCTGAACCCTGAGTGAATGAAACTACAACTCTCTGTGCATCTGGAGACGAAACAGTCTCCATCATCCTGACAAACTGCTCCATCAGCTGTGGATCAACTCTCCGAGGACGACCGGTCTTCTTGACTGCAGGGAAAGTTAGAGCCACAGTTAGTTATCTTATCTAGAAAAGACTTACATCCTACATAGTAACCATGGAAATGTATCTTGATGTGACTGATGAGTGAGTATTTCTATTGACACAATGGACGGACTGGTAAAACAACATGCTACTCATGCTTTAGTTTGAGTTGTCTGATGTTCTTCATTCATATATTTAAGTAAGGATGGCCGATATTATTCTATGTTCACAATATGTTGGTTAATACACAGGAACGTTGTTATTTATGATACTGGACCGTTGAGGCAAATATCTCAACTGATATTTGAGGATTTCAAAAATTTGATAAGAAATTGGTCAATTTTTTTATTCTAAAGACAAAACATGAAGAAAAATGATTATTTACACTTGATCATTAAAGATATGAAGTGAGTGGGACGTTTGACAGGTCTAGAGAGAAAGGGAGAGAATCACAGGAGACTCTCGACCTGTGTCTGTTCACTGGTCCAGCTCGAGTTAGAGAAGTGACTTTATCAAAGCCTGGTGACACATAATAAATCTTACCACAGTTTAGCAGACATATTGTTGCCCAGGAGATAATGGTGATTATTGACACCACGCCGAGGACTTCAAGGATTAATATCAGAGTTTTCCAGGGACCACTTGACTCTGTAAGAAGGAGTCTGCCATCAAGAGTCTTCCCGTCTGTAACAAGAGAAGATCCTGAAAACCATCCTGACCTCTGGAGTTATTACAACATTTAAAGTGACATTAGGAAAGGAATCTAGGAAAGGTGATGAGGGTTTAGGAAGGTTGTCCTGCAGCATCATGTTACACCTGTCCAGTGTCACCATTCTTGTCTGGCAGGAGTTTGGATTACAGTGTGACACTGATTCAACAGACTGTGGTCAGGTGTAAACCTAATACAGGTCACAGGTCTCACCCCACACAGCGCTGATGTTGTGTCCTCCTGCCTGTACTGCACATCTGTATGTGTGTTGGCTGAGGGAGATCTCAGCTGTCAGCCTGAGGACCACAGATCCATCTTCAGGCCCAGGCACTGGTCCGGTCACTGTGATCCATCTGGCACTGGAAGCTCCGTCTCCGGTCAGATGCACTGAGCTCACCGGTCTGTCAGTACTGGTCACATGACATATCAGCAGGGTCCGGGCTGTGTGAGTGATGGGCTTCGCAAACATGTTCAGATCTGGAGAGAAATGAAGTAACAGCAGAGACAGAGACCGAGGGTTAAAGGATCACACCATCCAAAGAACCTTGGACGTTCCTTTTGTGTGGACTGTAATTGAACTCACCTGTTTTGGGGTTTATTGATCTTAGTTTAATTCTCTGGATCAGCACTGGACATTGTTGCCTGATGAAGTCACTAAAGAAAATATTCCTTGCTTTGTTCCTCTTCCATCTTTGTTTCACAGTTACAGCAGAAGGAGACTGGGCTGTCCATCTTTGAGATTCAGGGTCAAAGGTTATGAAGTCCTCTCCATTCACTGACCAGGCTTCAAAAGCTGAGTTCCTCCCATCGGCCGACTGGATGCAGCCACGCCGCCGCTGCACAACATCTGTAAAGTCAGACCAGGATTCATCTCTTGGTTTTGATGCATCAGAAAAACCAACATCACTCAAATTAAACCAACATTAAACTTACACACTGTGCTGTTGATTAAAGGTGGAATCACATGGAGAGACTCTGTGATATCAGAATACGCTGCCTCACAGCTGCTTGGTAAGTTCTTTGATTCCAGAGAAGGTTTGAACTCTTCTGTCCTGGTCGAGCTGTCACAGTGAGAGATGGGAACACCATCAAACACAGTGAGTTGCTCAAATGAAAGTTGATTTCCAGGCTGCACACGTCCTGTGGACAGGAACATCAGAGAGTGGGAACCTGAAGAAGAAACAGACAGTCAGCTGAGCTCTGTCCAGTGAGGTGGGGACTGTATTTGGGATCAGAAAGAACATTTTCCTACATTTACACAGGGTGTGTTAGAAGCTGCGACCGTCACAGTCAATCACACTTGTTACTGTCATCCTCTTTAAACACAGGACTTTGTGACACCTGTCACAAATGCAAAAGCAACTAAATAAATGCAAAACCTTCAATGTGAACGCAAACACCACAACACAAATACAAAGGCAACAATACAAATATTCAAAAACAACAACACAAATACAAAAACAACAACACGAAAACGAAAGCAACACAAATACAAAAGCCACAACAAATAAAAAGTGGCTCATCAGTAGCTGTGGAGACATTCACCTGCTGACAGAAGAAAACAGTGAATCAACAGCTGAAGACACATAATTTTTCTGAGCTTTTAAAACCTGTAGCTCTGCAGTGACGAGTGGCAGCGATTACAGAGCAGTGTTCTCTGCTCAGACATGAACAAACTAGAACAACAAGGATGTGACACAGAGGTAACAACATGTACAGGACTCACTCTGCTGACAAGCTGGTATGAGAAAAACAAAATACTTTGTTCTTATTAGCAGCATGTACCTTCAGAAACTGGACAGGGCAGTTACTCATTCCAAGCTCAAGTCGTTTCCCGCATGTCTCTAAGACACAGTCAGACCTGTTGGTCCAGAGCAGGTGTCTTTGAACTGCCTTGATCTTGGCTGTGGATAGTAACCGTCTCCAGGAGATTTTATTTCTTATTTCATTTGTTCTTCCTCTTCTTCTTATTATTATTACATTAATTCAGGTTCTTAAAGTGTCACATAAAAATATCGTTTAACTCTTTCATTTACATATTTACATAAATCTAATAAACATGATAAAATTGGTTGTAGTGTTTCTACTTAATGTTATTCCATTAAAATAAAATAAATTGTGTAAAAGTGTAAAATTATCTTTTATAATTAGTGTCCTAATAACAATTAAAATCTTTTTGTTTTCATTGATACAGACGCTTAATGATTAATAAATATCTCTTTTTAAGAAAAAAAACTCCCACAATGCACCTCACTGTTATTGTTTGGGCTGCCTGTCCAACATGGCGGCTGCTGGCTGCGTCTTCCACAGAACCCTGACTCGGTCCAGACCCGCACCGAACAAGGTCTAATCAATTCATTAACGTTGATATCATCGTCATTATTGATGTTGAATTGACTTTAAGGTGTCGTAGCTGTCGCGTGCGGAGGCTGGTTGAACCTGAATTCCCGCCAACACCTTCACCAGACTCCGTTCAAAAATCTGTCGTTTTAACGTCACCCGACATTAAAACCGTGAGCTCCAGTATCCAACATGAGCCACGAAAACAGGACGTTTTAAATAAAGAAGAGAATGAT